AAAAGGGTAAAAATATTACGTAATTGGCGGCAAAACTCTCCAGGACAGGGTGACTTGCATCCTTTTATTTATTTTTTTGAAAAATGATTTAAGGAAAATTTCTTTGCATATATTTTTTTATATTACCTAATATGTCAATAAAATAATTAATTTTTTTAATTTATTTGAGATACATAAAATTAAATACATTTATTTATTTAATAATATATAAAAATTATATAAAAAATTTATTTTTATATCACCATATTATTTTTTCTTTCTTAGTAATCAATCATGCAGGAGATTGTGGAAATCTACTAAGCAGCAGTCCGACCCAATATTCCCCAGTTTCTGAGCATCTCTGTCTGGCTTGACTTTGTGGGGGTGTTTGGTGGGGAAACTTTCCTTTAAGAGCTTATATGGATAAAACCTCTAATAGACATAATTATAAAGATTTTTTTTAAATATGTGCGAAGAAAATTTTATGAGTTTAGGATTATGTTAGGGAAAATAAAGATTTAAAATGTTATTTTTACTCTCTTTTTCCTATAGTATTAGTGTGTAAAAATATGTAAATAACTTTATAAAAGAAAAGTTCTCTTCATCTGAGCACTTCTAAAAGTTTTCTAAACTTTTTTTTTATAAAATTATTTATGTATTTTTACATATTAATACTATAACAAAATATAGATAAAGTAGCATTTTAACTTTTAAGGAGTGTTTGGTTGAGGAGAAATTTTTCTCTATAAACTTTTTTAAACTTTGGGTTCATTTGGGATTGTTGTGAAATATTGTGGCTGTAACTGTAATTATGATTACACTAAATAATGCTATAATAAAAGTTTTCTAAACTTTTTTTCTTATAAAATTATTTATGTAGTTTTACATATTAATACCATATCAAAATATAGATAAAGTAGCATTTTAACTTTTAAGGGGTGTTTGGTTGAGGAGAAAATTTTCTCTATAGACTTTTTTAAACTTTGGGTTCATTTGGGATTATTGTGAAATACTTTGATTGTAATTATGATTATG